TTAAGAAGCCACTAAGTATGTCAGAAAACTGGAATATCAAGCATGCTGTCATCATATTAATAACTCAGGTAGCGGCTGACATATCGTATATCAATACACGTTAAGAAGAGGCCTCCAGATTCTTCAGAGGGTTGCAGTTGATCCAGAAGAAAATTTGGATTTTTAGCACCATTACAAAATCCCTATCAACAGCAAGACTTTTTACAATGGTATGATGGTTGCCCAATCCCTATGATGTTTGGGTTTTCTATGATATGGAACTGGCCTTCCAGTTCGCTATATTCTATCTATCTTTCCTTTCCAATCTTTGAGGTCAGGCAACCTTTAAAATTAAAGAAAGGAAAGGAAACATTCTGTTTTTACAAAACTGAATTCAATGGAAGAAAGAGTGCTGGAAACCTGGGACGATCTACCAGTAGTAAAATGGCTGCCACCTGCAGGATTATAAAAATCTGTGTCATCTACTTGCAGGAAGGCAATTGTCTCAACTATGTTAACAACTATAGTATAAAGGTAAAGGTAAAGGTTCCCCTCACACATATGTGCTAGTTGTTCCTGACTCTAGAGGGCGGTGCTCATCTCTGTCTCAAAGCCAAAGAGCCAGCGCTTTCTGAAGACGTCTCCGTGGTCATGTGGCCAGCATGACTCAACGCCAAAGGCGCATGGAATGCTGTTATCTTCCCACTGAAGGTGGTCCCTATTTTTCTACTTGCATTTTTTACGTGCTTTCGAACTGCTAGGTTGGCAGAAGCTGGGACAAGTAATGGGAGTTCACCTCGTTACACGGCACTAGGGATTTGAACCGCTGAACTGCCGACTTTCAATTGACAAGCTCAGCATCTTAGTCACTGAGCCACTGCGTCATATAGAAACCTAATATTAAGGTATTGTACTTCATTTTGCCCGTCCCTATCCCAAAACCCACCAATACCTCATCATGGTGGTGGAGATGAACACTATAAGCCTATTATATTGGTCAACATGGCTCTGGCCTGGAGCAAGACCTGGTGATCTACTCTCACATCTTTGAATTGCTCCCTAACATTTTGGGTGGAGAAAACTGGAGTAGATCACCAGGTCTTGCTCCAGGCCAGACCCTGGAGCGTGTCCCCCTGACTGAGAGTACCAATAAAGCTACAGGGGAAGAGCAAAGAGACTATCATACTAGCAGGAGCATCCATGATGTGGATGGGGAAAATCCTGTGTCAGCCATTGACACAGCTCCTAGTGAAGAGAGTTCAGAATTGAAAATAAGCACATGACAAAGTTGCATCCTATCACCTATACTGTTCAACATACCATATTTTTCAGAGTATAAGACACACCCTTTCTCCCCAAAAAAGAGGGTGAAAATCTGGGTGCGTCTTATACTCCAAATGTAGCCCCACCCAGCCTCTCAAACAGAGGTTTCAGAACAGTGGTGGGTTCCTCCCGGTTTGGCCCGGTTCGTGAGAGCCGGTGGCGGTGACAATATAACGTCACGAACCGGTTCTCTGTCTTCGGGAGCTGGGCCCTCCCGCCCGCCCCGGTGTTATGCCAACCTTATATGTCAGTTTTTTCGCCCAGCTGAGAGGTGTGGCAGAGCGGATTGCCGCACTTCTCAGCTGGGCAGATTCGCAACGTGCTTGCGCAAAGCGCAAGTTTGGTGTCCTGCGAGTGAACCGAGCATGCACGCGGCGATTGTGCGCGACCGAAGAGGCGATCACGCGCAAAGCGCGTACATGAAGAGAACCAGTAGTAAAGGTAAGTAGAACTGACCCCAGTTTCAGAGGCTGAAAAAAGCATCAGAAAAGAAGCCCCCAAACAGAGCTTCAGAGGCTTTTTTCCTGAAGCTTTCTTTCGGAGGCTTTCAGAGGCAGGAAAAAAAGTTTTGCTGAAACAGAGTTTCAGAAGTTTCAGAGGCAGGAAAAAAAAAAAAGCAAAAAAAAGCATGGCACAGAGCTCACAACCAAGGAACCTGTTGCTAAAATTCACCTCTGGAAACAGCTGATTGGGGGTATTCCAGAGGCCAATCCACTTGCCAATCAGCTTTTTTCTTATTTTCCTCCTCAAAAACTAAAGTGCGTCTTATACTCCGAAAAATACAGTAGTTACCAAAAATGCACATTTGGAGGAATCTACCATTGGGGTTAAAATTAATGGTAGGAATATTAACAACCTCCAACTGGCAGATGATACAACATTACTCGCTGAAAACAAGGAGGATCTGAAGTGATTAATCCTGAGAGTCAAAACGAAAGTGAAAAATTTGGACTGAATCTTAGCATCAAGAAAACAAAGATAATGACAACTGCAGAGAGCACACGGGTCAGAGTGCAGATCAACGATGAGATCATCAAAACAGTAAAGGGATTCATCCTTCCTGGGCACAAAAATCAACCAAAGCGGTGACTGCAACCCTGAAGTTCAGAAGGCGTATAACACTTGCAAGAATTGTAAAGACTGGCATGGATAACACCTGGGAGATTAAAGACATCAACCACACAACCAAATGTAGATTAGGTAACACAATAATTTCTCCAATAGCTACTTATGGCTGTGAAACCTGGACTCTGAAGAAGGCAGATAGGAGATGGGTGGACGTCTTGGAACTATGGTGCTGGAGACCACTATTACGCATCCCATGGATTGCAAAAATAACGAAGAAATCCTAGGCCAAACCTCACCAAAATATCACCTAAAGCCAAGATACGTTGGTCATGTCATGAGAGCTGACTCACTCGAAAATTCAATTATGTTGGGAGTGATCAGTGGATAAAGAAGAACAGGCCACTCTAGTAGCCTCTGACAAAACACTACAAAAGATGATACTGGGACAACTCTGGCAGATCCGAAGGAGGTGGTAGGAGGCAGAGAGGCAGGGAAAGTACTGGTCCATAGAGTGGCTGAGGGTTGGACATGACTAAAAGGCTGACAACTTCATTTTGGCTGCTTCAAGCTTGGGACCCTTCCAGAAAGTTCAAAATAGCCATTTATGAATTTAGATGGACATTCTGAGCTTAACATGATTTAAGGCATGTATGTCTAACTTTTTGGCTTGCCTGGACCACACTGAGTGAAGAGGAATTGTCTTGGGCCGCATATAAAATATATACTGATTTATATAAGACACCTAGTAAGATTAAAACTTTACGATATTGGGCCATGGATTGGATGGACATGGCTGATTTAAGCCCTCTAGCATTCCTCATTTTTAATTGCTATGGCAATTTTTCTCTCCTTTCCAGGCGCTCCAACATTTCAAACGCTTGATTCCACTTTTTAAAGTCCCATTTCTATCTTGCCCATTACAATATGACTACAAATTTGAAATCAAATGCAGCAAAGTTTGAAATACAATGTATTATCACCCCCAAATTCTAACAAAACCAGGCTCCAGAAAATTGTCTGCTGAGTCCAAAGTCCATTAAACTGAAATTTACTAAGTTAAGGGTAAATGGTGTGAAACTTCTTAACAATGAGTAAAAATATATTGTAATACACTCATATTATATGACCTATGCCTCCATAAAGATTTTTTGAAGTCTGTCAGTTTTTCTCCAGATGGAAATAGTGTGTTATTTGTAGTTCGATACAATGGGAGAAAATATAAGTGAAAGGGTTAAAAATCGCAAAAAGGTTTAGACTTTTCCTCAGTGAGCTTTCTGGGTTAACAAATAGGTTCTCCATCACTGCATTTTCAACTGGGAAAAAAATTGGACATGGTTAATTAAAAAGTTAACAGGAGTTTTTCCCCGACTGGATTCCCTCCAAGCTCTTTTTTGGGCCTGTGCAGAAATGAATACAAAAAGGCTGAGCTATAAAACACGATTTACCTATTACAATGGCATTCTGACCTCCCATGCTGGATTCAGCACAATGCAGTTAAACCATAACATGTGAACACAGACAAGTGTTGAGGGGATCTGGTGGCAAAGGTATTCATACATCATCATCATCATCATTATTATTATTGGCATTATTACTACTGTTATTGTTATTGTTGTTGTTATTATTATTATTATTATTATTATCATCATCATCATTATTATTATGACAGTATACACAGCAAACGATAACCATGCTGGATTTCGTATCCCAAATCACTAGTTGAACACTTCCCAAGCGTTTAGGACTGCGTTTACTGGTATTATTGTTATTATTATTTTCTCTTTTATTCATTAAACATGAAACTCAGTCAACTGAACATTTAATAATGTGTCACAAATACGACTGACTGATGTTAATGGTTGATACGGGTTGTTGCCAGCGTCCTAGGTATCAACCAAGTATCTTCTTAAAAATATATGTTACGAGTAGCGCAGTTTTTTGCAGTTCCGCTGGCGTTATTGCAGGAAGCTGCAATTTCTTGATGCGTTTTGTAAATTTTTGTTTTGCAATGTGTTTTGTAAACGTGTAAAATGTGTTTTGTAAATTATTATGGTTATTATCATCTCCATATTGCATCATTTCTCTGACCCTCAACACCACTTCGGCTCCCAAGTCAGAGAGAAGGGGCTTTTCACCAAGCAACCCATCTGCCATAAATACAGTCGTGCTTTAATTAATTTAATTAATCAGATCAGGCCACTAACATAATGAACCCACTAACCCACCCAGGATTAATCCCTAGAAGAGAGGGCAGAATCGTGCTCTACACTCAGGTCAGTTTACCACTGGGGGCTGTCGCTGCAGGATCAGAGAGAGAGAGAGACCCCCATGTCGGTCCCTTAAGATTTCTCCAGGGACGAAACGACAAACCACAAATCAGGGCTACCAGGCAGCAGCAGCCCTTTCCCCCAAAAAAACAAACCTCTGCTTTCTCCATTCTCACGAATCCACCGAAATCTGGACTTTGTTCACTTAGTCCATAGCTTTTCACACACACACACACACATACATACATACATACATACAAATTAACCAGGTTTACCCAAGCATGCGGGGAACCTTACGACCCGGATCCCGCAGTCGGAGGCGTTTCCCACGACTCTTCCCGACTAAGCGCAGGTCAGACCCACCCAGAGAGCCGCCTCCGATGAGGACGGCACCGGCCAGCGCCCCCGCCGAGGCCCCGTAAATGCACCGGGCGTCGCGGAGGAGGCGAGGGACGCGCTCCTGCAGGCAGGTGGCAACGCCGATGTGATAGACGCCCAGGAAGCCGCATCCCGCGAACGACACGCTCCAGCCGTCCTCGCCTTCCAGCAGTTCCACCATCGCGGCTAACAACAAAACAAAACAAACAAAAAAAGAAAGAGCGACGACGGACACCACCCAAACTGCACCCGCTCAGGCCGCCACACCGGCCGCTAATGAAGCCGCTCATGAAGCAGCCCGACACCCGCCTCCGTTTCGCCCCGCCCCTGGATGTGGCGCCGGGACCGCCGACCAATCGGCGGGGCGATGCAAAACAGACGAGGCGGGGGGGGGGGGGTGAGGGTGGGAGGGGGAGGAGGAGGGGGTTGAAAAGGTGTCGGGTGGTTTCCTCGCAGTTCCCTCTTTTTTTGGGCAATGGAAGGAGCGACGGAAGTGTGAAGGCCCCCAGGGTGGAAACTGAGAGACTTTGTAGTTCCAGGGCTACCTGGGACATGAAGACTTAGAATAACTTTATTGTCACTTTGAATGTAGGCTAATTGGCATATATTAGAATTAAATTTCGTTGCGTACAGCTCTCAAAGGGGCTCCACCTCCAGTGTACACTACATAAACACTGACTGACTGACTAAATAAATAATCGGCATACATTAGAATTAAATTTCGTTGCGTACAGCTCTCAAGTGTAGGCATATATACGCATATATACATGTGTATATACACATATACGCATAATGATGCACCAAGACAAATTCCTTGTGTGGCCAATCACACTTGCCCAATAAAAATTCTATTCTATTCTATTCTATTCTATTCTATTCTATTCTATTCTATTCTACTCTACTCTACTCTACTCTACTCTACTCCCTATTCTATTCTACTCTATTCTACTCTACTCTACTCTACTCTACTCTACTCTACTTCTATTCTATTCTACTCTACTCTACTCTATTCTACTCTACTCTACTCTACTCTACTCTACTCTACTCTACTCTACTCTCTACTCTACTCTACTCTACTCTAACTCCACTCCACTCCACTCCACTCCACTCCACTCCACTCCACTCCACTCCACTTCTATTCTATTCTATTCTATTCTATTCTATTCTATTCTATTCTATTCAAAAGGGTTTCCACCTCCAATATACACCACATAAACATTGACTGACTGACTGACTAAATAAATACCAGTCCGTCTCACTTAGCCTAAGGAAGGTGGCAATGGCAAACACTTCTGAAAAACCTTGCCAAAAAACCCCAAACCAGGGGTGAAATGCTCCCGGTTCGGACCAGATCGCCCGATCCGGTAGTGATGGAGGTGGGTGGTTCGGAGAACCGGTAGCAAAAATCCACCCCACCCCCATGCCCAGCTGAGCCGCACAATCATCAGAGGCTTTTTTTTTAGTTTTAAAAGCATTTTTTCTACAACCTCGGCTGAAAAAATGCTTTTAAAAGTAAAAAAAAAAAGGCTCTGATGATTGCGCAGCTCGTCAAAGGCATTTAAAAGTAAAAAACCCTTTTTTTCTTTTAAATGCTCTGACGATCCCAGCTGAGTTCCCTGATCGGCAGAGGCTAAAAAGCCTCTGCCGATCAGGGAACTCAGCTTGGATCCTCAGAGCCTTTTGAAAACATTTTTTTTACAACCTCTTAGCCGAAGAGATTGTAGAAAAAATGCTTTTAAAAGTAAAAAGAAAATGGCCACGCCCACCCAGTCACATTACATCCCCCACCAAGCCACGCCCACAGAACCGGTAGTAACAAATTTTAGATTTCACCCCTGCCCCAAACCCTATAAGGGCTGGTCCAGGCAATTGCCAGGACTGGCTCAAAAGCTCCCACACCTACCATAAAGTGCAGTAAATCATAATAGTAATAAGCACTATTGGAAGTATTAGAAATTGATAATAAGGAAGGGGAACAAGTAATATAGTAGTCACTAGGGTTACTCTTATTCATTCTGCATCTATGCTGCTTGCTCTGCCCAGTCTCAGCAGGAGGCCTGTGAAGATGGAAGCTAAGAGGCTGATTGGGATCAGAGCTGCTTAGTAGTTGGAGGGGAGACCACTAGGAAATCCCAAAGTTGGAGGCAAGGCTGGGAAGTAGCATCCCAGCAAAAAGGCAGGGCTAAACTTCGATGAAATGAGCAAGAAGGAATGAGTCTGAGAAAGAGCTGCTACCAAGATGTAGGTCAGATAAAATCTGAGTCCACGGCAAACCTGCAAGATTGAATCACGGTAGAACAGAACAGAATAGAACAGAATTCTTTATTGGCCATGTGTGATTGGACACACAAGGAAGTTGTCTTTGGTGCATAAGCTCTCATTGTACATAAAAGCTATAAGTGATAAATCATGATCGTAGTCATCCTAAAAATACATTCCTCATAAATCACAATAGCTCTATAATAAAAGCACTCCTAGATTGCATGGCTCTGACGCCAATTTAACAAGCCTGAAAGCACCCTCTCCCCTGCCTCCCTTTATCTTTGTAAGAATTGAGCAGCATCTTTTCTGAGATACTTTCTCAAGTTAATGTTCTGATGATATTTGGTCCGGTGCAGATGGGCAAGGAACCCCGCATAAATTCAATGGAATTTCAGTGTTTGCAACTGACAGCAGTTCGGTCCCTCACCTGCAGTTTGCCCTGGCAGCAGGGGTGAAATGCTCCCGGTTCGGACCGGATCGCCTGATCCGGTAGCGATGGCGGCGGGTGGTTTGGAGAACCGGTAGCAAAAATCCCTGTGCCCCCCCCCCACACCATGCCCAGCTGAGCCGAATGATCATCAGAGGCTTTTTTTTTTTACTTTTAAAAGCATTTTTTCTACAACCTCTTCTGATGAAAAAATGCTTTTAAAAGTTAAAAAAAAAAAGCCTCTGATGATTGCGCGGCTCAGCTGGGATCATCAGAGGCTTTTCAAAGCATTTTTTTCTGAAACCTCTTGGCCAAAGAGGTGGTAAAAAAAAAATGCTTTGAAAAGTCTCTGACGATCCAGCTGAGTTCCCTGATCCGCAGAGAGGCATTTTTTAAAAAGCCTCTCTGACGATCCCAACTGAGTTCCTGATCGGCAGAGATGCTTTTCAAAGCATTAGAAAAAATGCTTTGAAAAGTTAAAAAAAAAAAAAAAAGTTGGCCACGCACACCCAGTCACATTAAACCCCCACCACCACCACCAAACCACACCCACAGAACCGGTAGTAACAGATTTTACATTTCACCTCTGCCTGGCAGTGTAATGCAATTTTCCTGCCAATTAATGTTGAAATTCATACCTCATCCCCAACCCAAAATTCATATCAGTTTGGTTCCCAAAACAGCTAGTCTGTGTTACAACCAAAGCAATTAAGGCAGAATTTAAAATAAGCATCACTTCTCAAATGAGATACACAACTCTTAAGCAACATAACCAAGTGTTTCAGAAAAACCAGTGGTGAAATCGGAATTTTTTTACTACTGATTCTGTGGGCATGGCTTGGTGGGTGTAGCAGGGGAAGGATATTGCAAAATCTCCATTCCCACCCCACTCCAGGGGAAAGATATTGCAAAATCTCCATTCCCACCCTACTCTGGTGCCAGCCAGAGGTGGCATTTGCCGGTTCTCCGAACTACTCAAAATTTCCGCTACCAGTTCTCCAGAACCTGTCAGAACCTGCTGGATTTCACCCCTGAGAAAAACCCTATTTAGTAACAGTTCTGTTAAGTACTGGCATATTCTGCTGCAATGAATATGGCTACATATGCAGTTAGTTGGGATCCACATCCACATCAGAGTAAAGATGTTGGACATGAGGCTGACCAGAGAAATCTGGATTGAACTGTATAAATATAATTCTGAATTAAAAGGCAAAATGCCACTACTCCATCTTTTGCAGCAGTTTCCTAGATGATAAGACATCTTCTGTCAGATTTTGAGGGCAAAACATTTAATTATTCAGAAATGCTAAACTGAGCTAAGTATCCTGCTGGTTTCAGTATATTTGTTAAATTTCCTAGCAAAAGAGTAGAGATTCGATGCAGCAATCCAGGTCTACGATCCTTGATTTAAGCTCTGTTCCAACTTGCTTAAACTGCCATAATCCAATCCAAGGGCTTCATAGTGACTTTTTGTTATAGCCAACCCCCTTCTCTCAGGACAAAGATGGGGGCAATAAGAATCTTGCCATTGACCAGTTAACCAGCATCCCACCCAAGAAGACCCAAGTGCTTGGCTAACAAGGCATCAAGGGCACCATCCGAACCATCCAATTTAGATTAGTCATTCTATTTTTCTGACCTCAATGTTGCATTGAGAGTCACTCGTGAAGACACACCCTTCAGAGACATGAGTTGTCTTGACAAGTTAGGCAAGCCGGAAGGGCTGAGCCATTTCCATTGGATCTAAACAATCAGATCACATTTTCAGAGATTGAAGACAACTTCCCAATGGCCCACTTCTGAATTCTTCCTCTCCCTGAATTGTGAGCAAGCTGGTGTGAAAATAAATCAGCAGATTAACAAAGGCCAAGAAGATTTATAGGCTTTCAAACACCGTAATTCAGATCTGCCATCAAAACACTTCAACCCTGCTTCGCTTCGCTGTGATGGCAGCCTTCCATAAAATGTGGGGAGGTGGAATGGGAAGATAGGGAGAGGGGATGACAGGAAACAGAGGTGCCATCCAGAGACAACAGTTGAAAGATTCAAGGACACAAGCCTGGGAATGGAATGAGAAATGGCCATCCAAAGAGGTGTCAAAACCTGGAACTATTACCAAAACACTAATTTGAACCTTATGGGACACCACCAAGATGACCAAGGGGGGAAGGCCTGGGAGAAAGGAAAATTACCAGGGTTATGCGGGAAATCCTCAGATCTGGCCTCACTACATTGTAACCGCTTGGCTTCAAAACAAGTATACCTTTCACTACAAATGGAGTCAAAGGTCTTTCTTTCCTGAATGTTCAAGCTGAGACAGGTATGACAAAGACTGGCTTCTCCTCTTAAAGAGAAATCTGGAGATACCGCCTTTCACCTCCCTTCACAAGAAATAGGACAGCATTTACAAAGTAAGATTTAAGCTGCTTTCTTGGCAGCTTTCCAAGGCCTCTCTGGTCATATTTCTTATAGGACATACCTATCTTGTGGATTAAGGTCCATAGAGCACATTAGGGTTTTTTTATTGTAGTTTTAGTGCACCTCATACTAAAG